AAGAAAAAAAAAAATTTTTTTTTTTAAATTTTTAAAAAAAGAAAAATAGCTGGATGTGTTGGCACATCCCTGTAATCCCAGCATTTGGGAGGCTGAGGCAGGAGGATGTGAGTTCAAGGCCAGCCTGGAATACATAGTGAGACCCTGTCTCAAATATAAATAAATAAAAAGAAGAAAAATAGCTGGCATGATGGCACATTCCTGTAATTCCAGCTCCTCTGGAGGCTAAGGCAGGTAGATCACAAGTTCAAGGCCTGAGGAAGTTATGAGACCCTGTCTAAAAATAAAAAGGGGTACAGATGTAGTTTGGTGCTAGAGCACTTGTCTAGCATGCATGAGGCCCTGGGTTCAATCCCCACTACCACCAAACAGAAAAAAGAAGATGATGATGATAAAAATTAGGCACACATGAAGTAAGGCCCCAAACCTGCATGATGACACAGGCCTGTAATCCCATAACTCAGGGGAGTTGAGGCAGGAGGATCACAAGTTCAAGCAAGACCCTGCCTCAAAAAAAAGAGTCTGAGGATGTAATGTAGTTCAGTGCAAAGGCTCTGGTTTCTATTTTTCTTTCTTTTTTTTTTTTGAGACAGGGTCTTGCTTTGTAATTTAAACTGGCCTCTAACTCCCAGCGATACTCCTGCCTCAGGCTTCTGAGTGCTGGGATTACAGGTGTGCACCACCATGCCTGGCTAAAGGCCCTGGGTTTCATTTCCCCAGTCCTAAGAAAGAAAGAAAGAAAGACAGACAGGGAGGGAGGGAGGGAGGAATGAAGGAAGGAAGAGCAAGCACAGAGGAAGGAAGGGAAGGAGGGAGGGCAGAGAAAGCGGCTCCTATAGAGCCAATGCAGAGGGCTGCTGGCACCCAGGGGGAGGTTAAATCACCTGCTTTTTCTCTATAGATGAAGCCATTGACCCACTTAGCTTAATCCTTAGCCAAAAAGTGTGTGAGGCAGGTTGAGATGTGCCTGACTCTTCCTTCTGTAATGGGCTTAGCTGGTGGCAGGTAGGAAACAGATGGTTGGGAAAGGTCTTGTTCCTAGGGCTTCCAGTCAGGCCTCCCAGTCAGGCCTCAAGGGTGTCTGGCTGGTCCTCAGCTTTCCAGGGAGCTCTGGGGGGCAGGAGTGGGAGTCAGATGGAAGCCTAAGAATGGCCTAAGCCGCCCAGTGAGCAACCCCACTCAGGCCGGGGAAGGAGCTGAGCCCGCACAGCACCGAGGGGAGGGGACCCAGCTGGGAGCCTGGAGGCTGAGAGCCCCTTCCGCTCCCACCCTGAGGGTCCCCCTGAGGAGTCACCCACCCTCTGGCCCCCAGCTCTTCCTGAGAGGTAACCACCAGGCTCTGCCCCTGCAGCACTCCCCCTCCACGCCCAGATGCCAGAGTTGCTTCTTCCGGCACAGTGATGGAGAAGTGGCCGGGCAGGTGAGAGGTGGGGCCGCCCGGGAAGTCTGGGGCCGAACCCTAAGGCTTTGAGGTCCTGGCCAGGACCAGGCCCTTCTGCCTGCTGGGAGCCAGGATGTGGGGAGCCTTTGGGTGGGGTCAACGCTTCCATCGTGGTCTTCCACCCCTCCTTTGACTTGCAGGCCCTGGCTGTGTCTGGCGCTGCTTCTGTCTCTGCCTCAGCTCTGCCTGGACCAGGAGGTGAGCCTGGGGCAGGTGAACAGCCTGCGCCCACCTGGGTCCCTTCAGCTTCCCGACCCCACACCCTCCTCTCCGGCCCTGTCTCCTTGTCCCCATCCACACGCTCGGCCCTCCGGCCCTCCTGCCCTCCCGGCAGCCCCTAACCCCTGAGAAATCGCAGACAGCCGATTTCTAGTTCCGCTTGGCTGGGCTGGGCTCGGGAGTGTGGCTCTGGGCCAGAGCCCTGGGCCAGGAGGCTGCTGAGCACCTTCCCCTCCCATGGCTCTATTTCTGTCTGCCCTTTCTCTCCCTGTAGGTCTTGTCTGGACACGCTCTTCAGACAACCCCAGAGGAGGGCTGGGTCCCTGATGGTGTCTGGGGACCTTGGGACCAGTGGGGCCCTTGCTCCCAGCCCTGCGGGGTGGGGGTGCAGCGCAGAAGCCGGACTTGTCGACTCCCCCCGGGCCTGGCCCTGCCTCCCAGGCCCCCACGACACCCAGAAGCCCCCCATCCCCACGGTCAGAGCCCCAGACCTCAGTCTTCCCGAGACAGGACACAGCCTTGGGGAAGGGGCAGCCCACTTCGGGGTCCTGCTTCCCAAGTGGGGAGAGAGGAGCCCCAGGAGGCCCTCAGGTGAGGTTCAGAGGAATGGGCTTGGGGAAGGGAAGGGGACCAAAGGGCACAGTGGCTTCCGAGGCCGATCTCTGGTGCCAGAGAAGGGTCAGGGGTGGGCATCTCTGCAACCTCATGACTCCCACACCTTCTCAGGTCCTGGGTTCGAGAGCCCATCAAGCCAGGCATGTTCGGTTACGGGAGGGTGCCCTTCGCCTTGCCGCTGCATCGGAGCCGCAGGCACTCCGGGATCTCACCCAGGCCTGAGTCCTCCCTGGCCTCTGCTACGGTGGACAGGCCCCTTCCCTCCCTGACCCCGGGAGCAGAGCTGCTCAGCCCCCAAACTCAGCTCCTCCCTGCAGAGCCCGCTGCCCACACCTCATGGCCCCCCGCAGAGCCTACCAGGCCCCAAACTGCTCAGACAGGGGTGCCCCCCAGAACCAGTCCTGTCCCCACACAGCCCCACCTGGGAGCCCAGGCCTCTGGCGCGGGGCCCCCCTCTCGAACCTCCTCCTCCAGAGAAAGTGGCTCCTTCCTTGCGTCCCCTCAGCCGAGAAAGCCTAACTCCCAGCGTCTAGCCAGGCCCCAGGTAGCAGGCAGGCGCCCCGATCCTTTGCCTTCTGACCCTTGGGGCCTCGGTCAGCAGAGCCGGGGGCACTGGTGGCCTGGGGGGAGTCCTCGCGTGTCCTTCTCAGAGCCTGCCAGTCACCATCTAGACGGCTGGCTGCCCCTGCTGTGGGGTGGGCCCCAGCCCGGCTCCCTCTGGAGCCTCTTTGCCCCCAGAGACCCTGTCCCAAGATGTGCTGGGGAGAGAGAGCAGCTCCGAGCCTGCAGCCAGGTGGTGAGTTCTCTGCTGGGCTCCCCAAGGCTGTCTGGGTCCTCGTTTGTCAGCCCTGGACCCCAGAGCTGACCCTCTCCTCCCGCCTCCAAATCCAACTTCCTCCCCAGCACTGACTGCTCTGCTTCCCCACCCCAGCCCTGCCCCCCTGAGCAGCCAGACCCCCGGGCCCTGCAGTGTGCAGCCTTCGACTCCCAGGAGTTCATGGGCCAGCTGTACCAGTGGGAGCCCTTCACCGAAGGTGAGCGGTCACCCTGCCCGGGCAGGGGTGGCCTGGGGCTGGGCGTCATGGGGACAGGGAGCACCTGCTCACTCTCAGACTGGGAAGGTTTCCAGCCCCTCTCACCATGTAGCCCCTCTTTCTCCTTCGTCACACCTGTCTTACAAAGGCAATGAGGGCCTGGAAGAGGAGGGCCTTCCGGACAGGCCTTCAGCTGTCAGACGCAGTGGTGGCAGCAGAGGGGTCAGGCTTGGAGAGCGAGGGGCCCAGAGGTGCCCTTTGGCCGGCTTCCTCTGGGAAGAACCCCCATCCCAAGAGACAGTGTGTTTGTGTTTGCAAGATCCCATCCAATGCTTACAGCAGGGGCTGTGCCACAGACCCAGGGGGGTCCAGGACCCTATCACTTGTTCCCAAGTAACCATCCACTTGATTGTAGGCTTATGTCAACTTGACATTAAAACAATCTCTCGTGAGCTCTGTACCCACCGAATCGTAGGTGTCGGAAGCCCCTTGATGGTTGGGCACAGTGCTACTTACCTGTAGTCTCATCTGCTTGGGGCCTGAGGCAGGAGGGTCACTTGAACCCTTGACTTTGGGGTCAGCCTGGCAACTTATAGAAACCCCATCGGTGCATACCCGAAATCCTAGTAATTTTGGAGGTAGAGGGAGGAGGATTTCAAGTTTGAGCCCAGCCCAGGCAACTTTGTGAGACCCTGTCCCACAATTTAGAATTAAAATTAAATTTTAAAAGGGCTGAGAATGATGCAGCTCTGTGCAAAGACCCTGGGTTCAACCCCCAGTACTCCAAAACAAAGCCAAACCTTGATAGGACCCTTGGCCTCTATTGTTCTGACCAATCCTTTCAGCACGTGGATCCTCAGGTTGCCTTCATTCAAGACACAGAGACAGTAAAAGCAAAGCCATAAGGGCTCTGGGGCCTTTGCCAGGTCGCTCCCCACCAGCTCAGCGCCCTCTACCTTGTCTCTTAGTTCAGGGCTCCCAGCGCTGTGAGCTGAACTGCCGTCCTCGTGGCTTCCGCTTCTATGTCCGGCACACTGAGAAGGTCCAGGATGGGGCTCCGTGTCAGCCTGGAGCCTTGGACATCTGCGTGGCTGGACGCTGCCTGGTGAGGGAGGGCAGAGCACATGCGCACACACACACGCACGCACGCATGCACGCACGCACTGGTGAGTGACACTCATCACAACAACAAACCACCAGACAGAGCACCCAGGGGAGCCCCACCTGCCGAGCCCAGCCGGGCAGAGCCTCGGGTGAATGGAGGAAGGGTCCATCAGGCACACCGTGCGTCCCCGAGCCCTGGGCCGGGGAGGGATGTGGGCCAAAGGAGAAGCACACTCCCACGTGTAGCAGGAGCAGGGTGCAGGTGGTGAGTGGAGGGTCCTGCGTGTGCTGGAGGGGCAGGCATTGGCATTCATGTCTCCCTCTCCCCAGAGCCCCGGCTGTGACGGGATCCTTGGCTCTGGCAGGCGTCCAGATGGCTGTGGCGTTTGTGGGGGTGACGAGTCTACCTGTCGCCTCATTTCCGGGAACCTCACTGACCCGGGTGGTCCCCTGGGCTACCAGAAGATCCTGCAGATTCCGGCTGGAGCCTCCCAGCTCCAGATCACCCAGCTGCGGCCCAGCTCCAACTACCTGGGTGAGCACCAGGCTCCCGGGCCTGGCCCATCCCCTTCCCCGCCTCCGTGTTCCGCCCTCCTCAGCGCTGTTCAGCGTGGCAAACAAGCTGAACAAGAAGTGGGGAAGCGGAGGTGGCTGGGGGTGTCCCAGGTTCTGTGGGGAGTGGTGGGAGGGAGACAGGAGGACCGACCTGGTGTTTGGGGGTCTCTTCCAGCACTCCGAGGCCCAGGGGGCCGCTCCATCATCAATGGGAACTGGGCCGTGGATCCACCGGGCTCCTACGCAGCCAGCGGGACTGTCTTCCTGTACAGCCGTCCTCCTCGGGAGGAGGGCAGGGGGGAGAGTCTGGCAGCCGAGGGGCCCACGACCCAGCCTGTGGACGTCTATGTGAGTTGGGCATGCGGTGGGAGGCCTTCCCTCTGGGCGAGGCTCCTTGGCTCAGGTGGGAGGAGCCTGCTGACGCGCTCTCTCATCACCCTCAACGTCCGTCACCTTCCCTTGTCCCCAGATGATCTTTCAGGAGGACAACCCAGGTGTTTCTTACCAGTATGTCATCTCCTCACCTCCTCCAGTCCCCCAGAGCCCCGCTACAGAGCCCCCTGTGCCCCAACTGCAGCCTGGTAAGGCTGATCTGGGAGGCGGGCGAGGCCCTGAGGGCCGGGGTGGCAGGGGCAGCTGATCTGTCTCCTCAACCCCTGTGCAGAGACGCTGCGGGGCGGGTCCCCACTCCCCTCGGCGCCCCGCCCAGCCCGGACCCCAGGCACCCTGCAGCGACAGGTGCGGATCCCCCAGATGCCTGCCCCAACCCATCCCAGGGCCCTCCTGAGGTCTCCAGCTGGATACTGGAAGCGAGTAGGATACTCAGAGTGCTCAGCATCCTGTGGAAGAGGTGACACTTCATACCTATATTCCTGGGACTGCAGCCTGAACCCCAACTTGACACCATGACGATTCTGTACCCAGGTTCTTGGGCCCACTGCGTGACCCTGCATCTGGGACTCAGGGGAATGGCTCTGAGCCATCCCACTGCCCGCTTTCTTGTCCCTTCAGGCATCTGGCGCCCCGTTTTCCTCTGCATTTCTCGTGAGTCAGGAGAGGAACTGGACGAACACAGCTGTGCCATGGGTGCCAGGCCCCCAGCCTCCCCTGAGCCCTGCCACGGCCCACCGTGCCCTCCACAGTGAGTGTGGCCCACAGGGAGGGCTGGGCTGCAGCAAGTGCCCCTCCCACACCATCTCCCTGGGTGCTACTCACCTGGGCACTGCCTGGCCGCAGGGACACGGGGCTGCTATCCCACAGACAGCAGAAAACCCCAGGCAGCCTGCACCCCCATAAGAACCCCAGCTCCACCGCTAAATGTGCCCACTGTCCTGTGACGGCCCCTACAAATCTCATCACCCTGTCTACCTCCTTCCTGCCCTGCCCACACCCGCAGCTGGGAGCCCGGTGAGTGGACAGCCTGCAGCCGCTCCTGTGGGCCCGGCACCCAGCACCGCCAGCTGCACTGCCGGCAGGAGTTTGGTGGGGGAGGCTCCTCAGTGGCCCCAGAGCGCTGCGCACACCTCCCTCGGCCCAACACCACCCAGCACTGCCAGCTGCTCCTCTGCGGCCACTGGGAGGTGGGCTCGCCCTGGAGCCAGGTGAGTGAGCTCGGGTGTAGAAGCCCAGAGGAGTGGGCACCAGTGAACGGAGCAGAAGTTTTTCCACCTTTCTTCATCAGCAGAAACATTCTGCAAACAGGCTGTCATGTGGAACCCCAGTAGACAATGTCAGATAAGAGACTGAGCCCCGGCTCAGGCTCCTCTCCAACCCATAGACCCTATAACCACTGAGCTGGGGCTGGAAGGCAGATCCTGGGTCCTAAGCCCTGGGGCTGAAGCCGCCCAAAGCCCAGCTCCCAGGGTCCCTCTCACACCCCCAGTGCTCTGTATGGTGCGGACGAGGCCAGCGGAGCCGGCAGGTTCGCTGTGTGGGAAACAATGGCGACGAAGTGAGTGAGCAGGCATGTGCCTCGGGCGCCCCCCGGCCCCCCAGCAGAGAGGCCTGTGACATGGGGCCCTGTACCACAGCCTGGTTCCACAGCGACTGGAGCTCCAAGGTGGGCCCCATGCCCTCAGCCGAGCCCCGCATCCCTGGTGAGCGAGCGCATGCAGGCAGAATGCAGTACGAATTGACTGAGCAAGTGCCTCCTTTGTGCATCAGGGTGCTAGACGCCCACCTGGGACACCTCCACCCCAAGTCCCTGGCCCCCCTTGTCTCCAGCAGCCCCCTTCACGAAGGCCTCCCTGCTTCTCCACAGTGCTCAGCCCAGTGTGGGACGGGAATCCAGCGGCGCTCAGTGGTCTGCCTTGGGAGCAGGGAGACCCACAGGCTGGGCCAGGAGGATGAGGGAGCAGGAACCAGGGAGCAGAGCTGCCCGCCAGGAAGCCGCCCTCCCGACATGCGTGCCTGCAGCTTGGGGCCCTGCGAGAGGACGTGGTGCTGGTACACAGGGCCCTGGGGTGAGGTGCGCTGAGGCCTGGGAGGGGCTGGGCTGGGGCAGGGGCACTGCATGGCAGGCAGGCATTGGGAGTGATCTCTGCCCCTCCCGACACCAGTGCTCCTCGGAGTGTGGCTCCGGCACACAGCATAGAGACGTCATCTGTGTGTCCAAACTGGGGACTGAGTTCACTGTGACTCCTCCCAGCAACTGTTCCCACCTGGCCAGGCCGCCCACCGTGCAGCCCTGTCAGGGCCAGGCCTGCCAGGATCAATGGTTTTCCACAGCCTGGAGTCCGGTGAGTGCCTGGCTCCCTGCCCTGCTCAGCCTGAGTCTCCAGTGAAGTGGGGCTCCTCTCACTGGACCCCCAAGTTTCTTCAAACCCCAGGACAAGCCCAGCTCATTTCACATTGTCCCATTTCCTTTGGGCTTGGAGGGCAGGTGGCACTCATAGCGTCCTGGATGATAATGTCCCGCCGCTGCTCTTCAGAGGGAGGTTGTGGCCAGGGGTGAAGGCGGAGTCCCGATCTCATAGCTGTGCTTCCCCTAGTGTTCTCGCTCCTGCCAAGGTGGCACGCAGACCAGGGAGGTCCAGTGCCTGAGTGCCAACCAGACCCTCAGCACCCTGTGCCCTCCTCACCTGAGGCCCTCCAGGAAACGGCAGTGTAACAGCCAGCCCTGCAGCCAGCGGCCTGGTAACGAGCCCCTATGCCCAGTCCCGACAATGGGCTCAGGGATTAGCAGGAGTGTGCGCGGAGGAGAGAAGGGACTGTGGCAGTGGGCAGCGCACTTCCGGCCAGGTGGTCATTGTTGATGGTGCCCGCTGGCCTCTGTCCCCAGACGATAGGTGCAAGGACAGCTCTCCACACTGCCCCCTGGTGGTCCAGGCCCGGCTCTGCGTCTACCCCTACTACACAGCCACCTGCTGCCGCTCTTGCGCCCGCGTCCTGGAGCGCTCCCCGCTGGAGCCCGCCTGAAATGGGGCCCGGAGGCCTCTCCTCCCGGTTCTCTCGATCAGCCCATGCGGTGCCCCTGGCTCTCCAGCCTGTCCCATTATACCTGGGATACCCTCCAGGGCGACTGAAGGTGGAGGCCACAGACGGCGGCTGTCCGGATGTGTGGCAGGGTCTGCGTTTGTGGTGTGATGTGTGTGCACCTGCGCCCCGTGTGTGCCCTCAGATTGGGGTATCACTTCCCAAAGAGAAGTCACAGGGGCGGAAAGGAGTGGGGGAGCAGACAGTACTTGTTTCCCCGAGACTTTTCTAGGCTGAGAGGAAAGGAAGTTTGCAGCTCCTCACTAATCTGAGCTACTTAGAATGTGGTCTCCTCAGCAATGGCAATTTTGCACCCTAAACCTGATTTCTCATATTCAGGCCTCACATTTTCTAAACCACTCTTTTGGACCGGGAGTGTAGCTCAGTGGTAGGCTGCTGGCCAGGAATGCACCAAGCCCTGGGTTTGATCCCCAGCACACCCCCCCCCAGCCACCCTTTTGGCTCTGACCCCCTCACTCCGTGCCCATCTCCATCCTGGCCTCCCTGATTGGCGAGGGAGAGGGTCAGCCGTAGCCAGTCCTACCCCCAGGCCAGAGCAGGGACCATCTGAACCAAGGGTGGAGACATGTTAGAAGACACCCCGCCCCTGCCCCCACTTCCCATCTCCTTAAATGGCTCCCGCCCCAGAAGTAATTTATTTTTTATTAAAGTTGATTATGACAAATGAGAAGCATGCTCTTCGCTGTCCGCCTGGGGACACAGCCGTCCCACCTGGGCCACCTGAGCAGTGGCGTCAGGAAGCCCGGGAGGAAGAGCCGGGGCGGCGGACAGGATCCGCCACTAGAGGGCGCCGCTTTCCCCCGTTAAACATGGCGCTGCCCGCTTGGTCCCAGGCCCGGGGAAGGCGCGCGGCCTGCGTGGGTCTCTGGGAATCCAGCAGGACTCCTTTTGATCCCGGGCTGCCCTGAATGGCAGCGGCCTTCTGGGGGCCATTTCTCCGGTGCCCTTTCTGGGGCACTGCCTTCCTCTCTCGCCAATCTTTTCCACTGTCACCATTTCCCCGTCCGCGGGGCGGGAGAGGGATGTGACCGCGGCCCCTGAGCCCTTGCTCAGCCCCTGACTAGAGAAGGACCCGGGCCGGTCTGGGGGACCCGGGGCTCAGGGAGCGGCCGGGCAGTACTCGATGTCCTGCCAGGACATTCTTCTGCGCTGTCTCACCCTGGCCGCCTCCCTCCTCCCGGCCGGCCCTTCCCTCAAGGTAAATAACTGGCCGGAGGCGCTGCGAGAGCGGCGCGGCCCTTTCCCCGACCCTGCAGTTAGTTCCTAGAAGCAGAGCCCCGGGGAAGGGGACCGCGCAGAAGCCGGCGCCCCTGGCGGGCGGGCGACACTCCAGGGCCGCGGGGCCCTCAGCCACCTGCGGCCCAGGGAGGACGCAGTCATCCGCGGGGCGGCCTTCTCCACCGAGCGCCATTCTTGGGGCTCGGGCTCGTTCTGGGCCGGAGCGGCCGAGCAGGAACAACGGAGAGGACACCTGGGAGGAGCGGGGGTGAGGGCAGAGGCGCAAAGGAACGCAGGGGAATGAAAACGTCCCAGCTGCAGGCCCGGGCCTGGGCGAGCAAGAGGGCACCGGCAGGCGGCCGCCAAGTCGGCCCGGCCCGGCCTCGGGAGCTGGAGGTGCGGCCCGGCGGGGCCTGAGGGGCCTGAGCGGCGCCCGCGGCGCCCGCGGCGCGAGCTGGGTGCAGGACCAGCCCTCCGCTGCTCTGGGGTCAGCTGACTCGCCCGCCCGCCCCGGCTGTTGCTGGGCAGGTTTGGAGCCGGGCCTGAGTCTGAGCCAATCACAGGTGTAGGAGCCGCAGCCACAACCCTGGGGCGCCCGGCCTCAGCGCCCCTTTCTCTCCCTGAGAGCCCCCAGCTCCCTCACGGCCTCCTTCCCGGGTGGGCTCGCATTTGGACGTTTCCCTCTTTCCTCCTCCCGTTTAGGAGCTAGGATTCCCATCGCTTCTTGGCCTTTTGGCTAAGATCAAGTGAAGAGCTAGGATTCCTGTGGCCCCGAGGTCAGTGTGGGGTCAGTGTGGAGTTCTCAGGAAGGGGAGCCTGACTCCAAGCGACCCTTCTTCCTGGCCCCTGCAGGGGCGCTGTGAGGCTGGACACTTCTGTTGACTTCCGAGAACTCGGAAGGGTGTGACGAAGCTGCAGCCCAAAGGGCAGCGAGACGTGGGGGCGGGGGGGAGCCCCTAGTCTGGGTGCACTGGGGTGGAAATAGGGAAGGGCACAGAGGAACTGCACCTTGAGGTTGGGATGGGGGTGGGATTGTGATGTGAACTTTTTTCCCCTTCAGTACTGGAGATCGAACCCAGGCCTTGGACCTGAGCTAAATTCACAGCCCTTTTAAAAATTTTAAATTTTGAGGCAGGGTCTCAGTAAATCACTAAATTGCCAGTCTGGCCTTGAACTGACAACCCTTCTGCCTCAGGCTCTCTGAATGCTGGGATCACAAGCTCCGGCCAGCTGGGGGCGAACAGAGAGCTCAGCCAATGGCGGCACAACGAGGATGCCTCGTTTCTGTGTGTGGCTCTAGGGCACAGGCAGACTCGGAGCTCTGTGGGACGTACACTGGCAGGGTGTGCTTAGGCTACACAGCCCTGGGTTGGGGACCCCAGCACTGCTGTGTCAGGACTCTTCTTCCTCCCCTCAGCTTCTCGGGGTACATACCCGACTTAGGTGCAGCCTGAGGACTACATTTGGTGTTCAGACCTCCCTGTGAGCAGGCCAGCTGCAGGGCAGGTGTAACAGTCCCCGCCCCTCCCTGCACCAGATCCACCTCTGTTCCAGGAAGAGGGAAGCAGGCACAGGAGCCAGGCTGTGGCCGGGGCTGAGTCTGGCCTTAGGCCCTCCTCTGGGGACCTGGAGGAGAACCCGGGTGAGCTCTAGGTGGACAGAGCAGTGGGGAGAGAAAGACTCCGGGATGTGCCCCACTTCCTGCTGCATTCTCTCCAACTAGATCTTCTTTCGCTTCTTGCTCTCCCAACTTTTACAAATAGAGACTTCTTTTTTTGTTTTGAGAGAGGGTCTCCCTATGTAGTCCAGGCTGGCCTCAAAATCGAGGCAATCCTCCTGCCTCAGCCTCCCAAGTGCTTACATGACCTGCCCGCTGAGACTTCATTTTAACACCCCCCCCAACCCCCACCCCAAGTCCACTAAGCCAGGGGCATCTTACTACCACAGGCTGTGGTTTGGGAGATTTGGGGTGGGGTGGGGCTCTTATCTTCTCTCCTCCCAACACCCCTAAATCCATGTCTCAGTGCTAGGGGGCTGCTGGGTAGGCAGTTAGGGCAGAGGGGGTTTATCTGTCACGGGCAGGTAAGAGGCGAGGGAGATTTCTTTGAACAGGAAGTAAAAGGCTCAGGAAAGTACCTAAAAGTCTAAGTCTGTCAACAAGAGAGAAGGCAGGCCTGGTGGCACATGCCTGGTCTCAGCATCTGGGAGGCTGGGGGTGGGGGGTGGGGGTTGGCAGTGGTGGTTTCTTGAGTTCAAGGCAAGCCTGGACTGCACAGCATCATGGTGGCACAGACCTTGCAACACTTTGGGAGGCTGAGGCAGGGGGATCTCAACTTTGAGTCTAGCCTGGGCAATTTAGCAAGATCATCTCAAAATTAAAAAGGGCAGGGATATAGCTCAGTGTGAAAGACCTGGGTTCAGTCCTCAGTACCAGGAAAAAAAAACAAAACAAGAATGAGAAACCGGATTAGCCTCAGTGTAGCTAGCACCAGTTCTTTGGGGTTTTGTTTTTGTTTTTGCCGTACTGGGGATTGAACCAAGAGCCTTTGCACTGAGATACAGTCTCAGCCCTTTCCATTTTTTATTTTTTTGTTTTGTTTTGTTTTTTGGTACCGGGGATCGAACTCTGGTCCTTGTGCTTGCAGAGCAGGTGAGGAAACCACTGAGCTAAATCCCCAGCCCTCCATTTTTTATTTTGAGACAGGGTCTCAGTAGGTTGCCCAAGCTAGATTTGAACTTGAGATCCTCCTCCTCAGTCTGAGTGCTGGGATTACAGGTATATGCCACAACGTAGCTGGTTTTGGGCTCCTTGGCCTGGGAGATGGGGAAAATCCTGAAAGGAAGGTGTTTCAGGACTGAGGTCTGAAGATGGGTAGGACTGGGGGGAAAAATGTCCCAGGCTAGTCCAGACCATGAGACTCTGGCTTCTGCTCTCGGAAACGTCAGTCACACCAGTGGAAGAGCAGGCACGGGACAGCAACAGTGAGACTGTTCTCTGCCAGCACCAGGGCCTCTCGAAGCCCGGAGCCTCAGGAGTCAGTGGAGGAAGGCTGTAGGGGGCTGCATGCTGGCCTCTCCTGAGCCCTGCCTGGGTCTCCTAGAGACTCCACCACAGAGCTGCTGAATGAAGAGGAAAAGAAACTGGGGGAGAGAAGATGGGTAGTTGAGCCAGGCGCTAGGGACCCAGTTACTCAGGAAGCTGAGGCAGGAGGACTGCAACCTCCAAGCCAGCCCAGGCAAGTTAGTGAGACTAAGGGTTTGATCCCCAGTCCTAGAGGGGGAAAGGGAGCAGATGTACTCCCAGGATCCCTCGGCTGAAGCCCTGGTGGCGAGGACTTAACCCCTGCTGTGAGGCAGAGTCCAGTGCCCAGGGCCCAGGCTCCATCTTTCGGTCTCCCTCCCCTGCCTGCTGCCAGCCACTGGCTGCTGCATCTCATAACGAAATGAAGCTGCGTTTTAGCTGCAGCCCAGGCTTGAGCAAGTCTTTCTCTGCACAACTAGCTGCTCAGTGTCTGGGCTTTGCAGGACAGGTCACCTCTGTTGCAACTCCTCTCTGCTCACTGCAGCACAAAAGCTGCCATAGGTGGTTGCTAAGTAAACAATGGGCTTGGTAGATTGAACCCAGGGCTTTGCACTGAGCTACATCCCCAGGCTTTTCAATATTTTATCTTGAACAGAGTCTGAGTCAACTGCCCAGCTAGACTCAAACTTAGGGTCCTCCTGCCTCAGGCTCCCAGAGTTCAGGGATTATAGGCATGGGCCAACACAGGGGCTTCTGCTTTAGATTTTTTTTTTTTTTTTTTTGGTACTGGAGATCGAACTCGGGTCCTTGCGCTTGCGCAGCAGGCGGCGAAACTGCTTTAGAATTTTATCACTTATTTTCAAATACAAGACCATTCCTGGCTTGCTGGCTATCACAGACCCAGGTGCAGGGCAGACCTAGCTCCTGACTTCTGGAATATTCTTATCCTGTCCACCCATTAAAGCGCGGTGTCCCCTCCAGGGCTCCAAGTGCAACTGTAGAACCTTAGAAGTCAACACATTCTCTACTTTTGTCTGGCTGGGTTTGTTGGTTGTTTGGGTTTTTTTGTTTCTTTGGTTGGTTGGCTTGTTGGCTGGTTTTCAACAATTAGTAATTCTTGATTCCAATTCTACACAGTCCCATTTTTTCATAACTGTGGACCTTATGTAAGGACCATGTGTACTGTAATTATTTACTGGACCCAAATACTGACAACTGGAAAGAGTTTTGATTTCTTGAAACTTTGGCCTGAAAAATAAAGTGTAAACAATATTTTTCATGAAAATGCAAAAATAAAAATTAAAAAAGACATTTGAAAACAACAAAAACATTTAAAAGTATTCAAGGTGTGGATCACGGTGGCCCAGATTATTGAGCATTTTGATTCTACAAGGGCATCTGACTGTGCCCCTTGCCAATGAAAGTAA